ACTCGTTATTCACTAAATGTAATCTCAAGTACTTCCTCTAAAAAAGGGGGAAAATGCTTTTTTGCATGTATGTCTTAAATATATTTAAAATTATTAAAGCAATGCAAGGCATTTATACATAGATTTTTTAAATCTTTCAGGCATAGATTTCTGCATATGCACAAAGATCGCCAAAGTCAGTAAGAGAGTCCTTCAACAATAACTACATTGTCATCTTTAGGAGTCCTAAAAGACTTACACAGACAATAGATTCTCATCACAATGCTTGTTCAGCCTTTACTTCCTCTGTGTGTTCAAATAAATGATAGATGCATAGTTCTTTTTCTAATTGTAATTTAATTAATAGAAACAAGTCCTATGAATGTGCATATCATGGTGTGAAGAAAATATCACCATCAAGTAACATCCCCTACTGGGGTAATTAAGTTAACGTAACTGTAATTAAATGAATAGGATCTATTGGTTTCAGAAGCTTCCCTTACCATTTCATAAAGTGATTAAAGACCTTCTAAAGTGGACATTATACTACCTTTTTATTGAATAAGCTCTATGATAACAATTTTGTTAATGTTTATCTATGTAAGTACTAAACCATCTTAGAAAACGTCTAATATACATATATGTTCATTAGTGTCGAGTGAAGCATATATCCCTTGACAGCAATGGCTGCACTGAAAAACTTTGTGAAGTCCTTAGATATTCAATAATAAATACATTTTCCAAAATTACTACTTTTTTTTTTGGAGAGGTTTTTGCTATAGGGGGCATGTACTCACCAGACAGAGAGACAGAGAGACAGAAAGCGAGAAATCACCCCCCAGGGGGGATGGCTACGCCACAATCCCTTCTCCTCCATTCTCCTCTTGAGATCTTGGGCATGCACGCACACATGCCCGGCGTGAGTTTTAAGCCACGGGTCCAAGACACGAACCACGGTCGACCACGTGGGAGTCCAGCGACATAGCCATTACCCTAACTGCTGGTCCCCCAAATTACTGATTTTTATTGTTTTGCAATATGCTGAATTTAACTATAACTTTTTTCTAACTGTTCATTGAGGGATGGTTACAGAGTTGTATAAGTGGGCATTTACACAGAATTTATGGACTCATGTCTTTTCAGTAAATACTTCTCTGAATACTTATTGATTGAGAGAATATATTATTGCCAAAAATATTTGGGTTCAGATCCTACTTCTGGCACTTTTTTCATATATACTCTCAGACAGTATCTCTCCTATTGAAGCCCATGGAAATGAACATTTGTAAACCATTCCTCAGTGTGGGCTCCAGGTTGCTCCCTTCTGTCTATCCTTCTGTCTATGGTGGTCAGTCTACTCTTTCCTTCAGGTACAATGATCTGGCCCTGGTCATTGATCACTGAGAGCAGTCAATGGGAGTAAATATAATCTTGCATATGTCAGCATTCATTCCTATTCCTCTTAAAGATTTTTCAGCGTTATGTTTTTCCTATTAATTAAGAATATATTGAGTTGACCACTTTTCAGTTGGGCACTTTGGTACTTTCATTTATCTGAACCTTGTTTTCAAATATATTTTAATTGTTTCTTTTTTCTCTTTTTTCCCCTTATTAATTCATTCTTTCACTCAACTGTATTCCCTATATTGCATTACGTGTAGGGTTTAATTGACCAAGTATGGAAGATTTAATCCCTGCTTACTTATAGTCTTTCCCTGAATTATTCAGCAGCTAGTAGCTTGATAATTAATTTCTACCTCTAGTATTACAACAGATGAAACCCTCTTTATATATTGAAAACAAAAATATTTACACGTTTTTTAAATAAGCAGAGAAACAAATTTTTATAGAAAAAATATGTAAAATATTGTGAAAAGAAAACTATATGAAAGTTTATATTTATGAATATTTCAGAATTAATGAAGTATTTTTATGGTTTATTAGCTATCTTATTCATTATGAATAGTTTTTAAACATATTATGTTACTGATGTAAGACATATACAAAAAAAGTACAAATCTGGGAACCAGCAGTTAGTGTAACGGCTATGTTGCTGGACTCCCACGTAGTCGACCGCGGTTCGTGTCTTGGACCCGGTGGCTTAAATCTCACACCGGGTGCGTGTGCGTGTGTGCCCAAGATCCCAAGAGGAGAATGGAGGAGAAGGGATTGCAGTGTGACCATCCCCCCTGGGGGATGATTTCTCGCTTTCTGTCTCTATGTCTCTGTCTGTCTGGCGAGCGCACGCACCCTATAGTGAAAACCTCTCCAAAAAAAAAAAAAGTACAAATCTAAAGTGCATAACTTGATCGATTTCTATTTATTTCTCATCATTAACATCATTCAGGAAAGATGTGTAATTATATTTTTCTTTTTAAAGAATTGGACATATTAAAATAAATAAGCTAATACATATTGATATAAATAGTATCCATTTCTAACTTTGATTCCAATAAAAATGTGGTCACTTAAAGAATGTACCAGGCCAGCTAGTAGCATTGTGGTAAAGGTGGCTCGATCCTGGGACCAGCAAGTGGCGTAAGGGTTATGTCACTGAACTCCCACGTAATTGACAGTGGTCTGAGTTGTGGACCTGGTGACTTAAAAATCACATTGGGCACCTGTATGCATGTGCCCAAAATCTAAGAAGAGAATAAAGGAGTAGGGATTGCCACATGGAGAAATGTATACATGTTAGAATATTCACTTAGTTAGCTAAATAAAATGATTGAATGCATAAAATATCATGAAATAAAAAATAAAAATAAATAAATAAAAACAAATTGAAACATAAAGAATCACTAAAGATCCCAAATATCCAAGGTAATATTGAGACATTACACTTCAGAATATTTTGTAAATTAATTATATTTAAGACAGCATGATACTGCTTTAAAAAAACAGACATATAAACCAATGCACAGGATAAAAGAACCAGAAGTAAATCCACACATTTACAATAAATAGATTTTTAACTATGTAAACAAGAGCACACAGTGGGGGAAAGAACAATCTCTTTAATAAGTGGGTCTTAGAAAATTGGATATTCCACTTGCAGAAGATTGAAATTGGATTCCTACATTATACCATAAGCAAAACTCAACTCAGAATATGTCAAAGACTAAAACATAAAACCTGGAACTGTAAAACTACTAAAAAAAAAAAAAAGGACAAAATTTCTACAATATTGATCAGAGCAATGATTTTTGGATATAATCCCCAACTCACAGGCAACAAAAGAAAAAATTGACAAAATTGCATTAAACTCAAAAGTCCATTCACACAAAAAAGAAAAATAATTAAAATGAAGAGGTGACATATGGAATAGAAGAAAATCTACAAACACATATTAGATAGAGGACAAATCAAAATATATAAGAAATTAAAACAATTCAAAAGTAAGAAAACAAATAGCAAAAGAAAGAAAACACTTAAAAAATAAACAAAGAAACTTAACAGATATTTCTCAAAAAAGAAAAGAAAAGAAAAGAAAAGCCATAAAAATTGCTACCAAGTTCAAGAAAAATATTTAGCCAAGTCCGCGACTCAGACCACTGTCAACTACATGGGAGTCCAGTGACATAACCCTTATGCCATAATACTAATTATTAAAGAAATGCAAATAAAATCCACAATGAGATATAACCTCATACTTGTTAGGGTGGTCATTAAAAAAAGATGAAAGGAAAAAGTGCTGTCATGCTGCCAGTGGTCAATATGGTTGGATCTCACATAACCAGTTGCAGTTTGGGTCCCAGACTTGAAAACACCCTGGATGATGTGTGTGTGGCCAAAATCCCCAAAAGTAAAATGAAGGTGAATGAATTACAGTGAATTATCCCCATAAAGGTACTTTCTCTTTCATTCTCTCCATTGACTGCACACACTGCTATAAAATATTTTTCAAGTATTTTCAAGGATGAAGAGAAAAGAAAATCCTTGAATACTATAGTCATTATAAAGCACAATATGGAAACTTCTCAAAAAAGCAACAATTTTGAGTTGATGGTAAGCCATGATGCGTTTTTCTATAGCAAAACAGAAAAATATGTCATTATTTTCCCGACAACCTACTAAGAGTACTCTGTGATCAGCAATCTTACTTGAGTCAATAACCAAAAATTCAGAATCAATACATCAGAGATATTTGCATCCCATGTTCATTTCAGCATTATTCATAATAGCTACAATAGAAAATTAACTTAATTGTCCACTGAGGGAATAAATGTATGAAAGAAAAGCAGTATATATAAAAAATTGAGTACTATTCAGCCTTAAAAAAAAACAAAAGAAAAGCAGTGTATATACAAAATTGAGTACTATTCAGCCTTAAAAAAAAAAGAAGGAAATGCTAATGTTTCTGACAATGTAGATGAATTTGGAGAACATGATACTAAATGAAAAAGCAATGTTCACAAAAATAAATACCACATGATCTGACTTTTATGTGGAATCTAAAAAAGTCAGACTCAGGCAAGCAGTAGAAGGTGGTTACTCAGAAAGCTGTGGTTAAAGGCTACAACTTTTCAGTTAGACTGGAGAAATAAGTTTTGAGATTTATTGCATAGCAGGGTGACTACAGCCAATAACAATCTACTGTGCACTTCAAAAAACTAAGAGATTGAATTTTATGCTATCACCCCTCCCTAAAAATTGTAAGAAGAGTGAAAAATATGTCAATTGGCCAGGTTTAATAATTTTATTTCATGTATGTAGACCATTGCACTGTACTCCATACATGCATATAATTATGAATTGTCAACTAAAATATTATTAACACTAAATATAGTTGTTAAAAACCTATCGGATCTAATTTTTAACACTAAAAATGTTAGCACTACCCCATTTCCTACAAACAAAAAGATTGTTCTTTATATCGCATCCAGAGTAATTTTTGATGTAGCTTCTCACTAGACTTTTTGTCTTCTCTAATCTCAGGCTAACATATGAACATAACTTTACTCTATAGTAAGTATTTTTTTCTGTTTAACAGGATATATGTTTGTTCATAACATGCTTACCCCGTCTAAAGATGAAGCTATCTTCTGACAATCGTCTTCCACTTTTCTGTGCATACCGATGTCGTATACTACCTTCCTTGATTAAACCTGCTAAGTATTAAGGTATAATGATTTATTTATCTGAGTGTCACTCCTAAGAGAACATAAATTAACTAGGTGAGGTACAATATCTTAATCGTCCATAGAGCCCAAGATGCTGTTGGCATGCAGCATGTTGACTGAATAAGCTAACAAATTAATACTTTCCTGTATATCTTAGTGAACTATGCTAATGTTTCCCAGTGTATTTTTTTTTTGCCAGAATTATCTACATGGAATGTTTGTTTCCCTGTAATTTTGAACAAAAAGCGTATCTAACCATGAAATTGTTTGTGACAAAAAGAAAAAAATCCCTCATCTAAAGTAGGTCATAATAAAACTCAGTATTTTAAGGATGAAAGAAGCAGATTGGAGCTGCAGCATTTCTTGCGTAACATTCACTTATGGACTTGTTTTCTAAGGATTTGAATTGATACAAAATGCCCCAAATGATAGAAGATTAGGTTCTCTACATTAGCTAATCCTTTGTGAAGTATCAGCATGCCCAAATGTTGTTTAGTTTAAATAAAAGACCTGAGCTATTTGGTGAAATATAGCACAAGAAAGCTGCTTTGATATGCTAACGAGAAAATGTGTTATTCATGAAGTGTCGCTCACCCTGGACACTGATATCAACTCTAGCAGAGAAAACAGTTATTACACTTTGTTTCATTTAATTTTCATGCTTTACTTGAGAGTGAATATAAATGAAGAGAATGCTAATCTTGTTTTGGGGAAAGCAAATCTTCAGGGGAACAATAGATTTCTTTTCCCTCTTAGATTTAGTTCGTATTTCTAGAGGCCACCTCACCTCTTTGTTCCACACCTGGCATGATCTCTGCCTCTCATAATTTTATCTAATGAACACATACATTGTATATTGCAGACCAATTTCTATTACTAAAAGGTATGATTTCTATATTTGGTGTTTTGTGTGTATTATCATTAATAAATGAATAATTCTTAGAAAATTTATGCTGAGAGTAGACACAGTTTTCTATAGTCATACAAATGAATGCAGAAAGGGTGTATTGTGCAATTCTTGGAAGGACTAAGTTGTATTGAAATCAAACAACTGTGCAATATCAGTGACACAGCACGAAATAAGTTACTCTTTTGCTCAGGATATACGTATTGTATTTCACACTATCTAGTGGGACAAATTTTCTGCATCAACCGTAACTGTTGAAAGATGTCGTAAAACCCACACTGGTCCTTTAAACGTCTACTTACAAGGAGTGAATCCCATGGCCACCAGTAATTCTAAAGAGCACTGGTCAGTTCCATTTTCCTACCGGCCTGAAAAAAAAACAGACCTAGACAGATTCAGTAAATAACACTGGTAATTGTTACTTATATTATGTCCCAAATGTATCCAGAAATCTTGTCCTGTTAGTATACATCTTTCAATAGCAATAAAATTGGGGGGATATGCTTCAAAAGTTGATGAAAAATTAAGTTAAAGTAAGGGTTTATTTTATGTGAAACTAAAATTTCCCCTTTTTTCATAATACTCATTTTTCACCCAAACCACCATGCAACCTGCTAGTCCCCATTCCATGAATTTTCTAAGGACTTTTTTTGTGCATTTAGTCTTATAAACTTGACAGAAATAACAAATCTGAGAGGAAAAAGTGTAAGCATATGTGACACACTTCCATCGCTTTCTTTTTTTATAAAGGAAAAGTTACAGATATTTTGCTTTTTTCAACAGAGAACTTTACATTCTTTTGTCTGTTAAATATTTTTTCCCTTCCCCCCTCCTTCCTTCCCTCTATCACTCACTATCACCCATTCCCCTCCTTTACAGTCTCTGATATCTATGCTTATCTTCTCTCCTATCAAATGTTCTTTTGATTTCCAGCAGAGGACAGACATTGAGTAGAGATTTAGAGTAGGGATATTCAATGTGTATCTTTCGAAGTCTTTCAGTCACACTTTGCTTAAGTCCTCCACATTCATCCATGATAATATGGAATAATATGGCAATTCTATTTTTAATATTTTGATATATCTGCATACTGTTTTCCATGATGATTGTAATAGTTTGCATTCCTACCAACAATATAAAAGAGTGCCCTGTTCACGGTTTTTCCAGTATTTGTTCATTATTTTTCTTTTTGATAATGGCCATTCTAATGTGTTAAGATGATACCTCACTGTGGTTTTGATTTGCATTTTTCTAATAATTGGTGTTGAGCATGTTTTCATGCTTGTTGCCTAGTTGTATGACTTCTGTTAAGAACTGTCCAAGTCATTTCCTCCTTTTTTAATCAGGTTTGTTTTGTCTTTTGCTGCTGAGTTCTTTGCATTTCTTGTGTGTTCTGTTTATTAATCCCTTGTCAGATGGATATATGCAAATATTTCTCCTACTCTGTGGACTATGTCTTTCCTCTGTTGATTGTTTTCTTTGCTATGTAGAATATTTTTATTTCAGTGTAATCCCATTTGTCTATTTTTCATTCTGTCAGCTGTGATTTTGAGCTCTTATGCATGAACTTTCCTCATACCAACTTCCTAAACTTTCAATTTCCCCTATATTTTCTCTTTGTAGCTTTATAGTTCCAGGTTTTATTTTTAAGCCTCTAATCCACTTGGAGTTGAGTTTTATGTGGTGAGAAATACATGTCTAGTTTTATTTTTTGGCCTATAGTTGTCCAGTTTTCAAGCAGTATTTATTGAAGAAATTGTCTTTTCACCAATGACCAGGACTTTGGTCAAAATCAGCTGTCTGTATATACAGGATTTATTTCTGGGATCCCTATTCTATTAAATTGGTCTATGTATCTGTTTTTCTGCCAGTACCACAGTGCTTTTGTTACTACAGCTTTATAATATATTTGGAAATTCTCCGATAGAGTACGAGCCTTCCAGATTCATTCCTTTTGCTCAGGATTGATTTGGCTATGTGAGGCCTTTTGCGGATCTATCAGTTTTGTTTTGTTTTGTTTTGTTTTGTTTTCCTTTTCTTTCTTTTTTTTTGATATTTCTGTCAAGAACGGGACTGGTACTCTGATAGATATATTGATCAGCAGTATAGACATTTTAAGAGTATTGATTCTTCAATTCATAAACATGACATGTCTTTCCATTTTTATGTGTCTTTAATGTTTTCATTATAGATACCTCCTTGGTTTTCCACTTATTTAAGATTTTTTTTAAGCAATAGTTTTTCACTTCTACAAACATTTGTTGTATTAATTTTGTCAAATTAAGAATTAAGTTCTCTTTCACTCTTAAACTACCACATTTAATTAATGTAAGATTTAAATGCTATATTAACAGTATGTGGGGATACATTTGAGTGCTTTATATTGACAATATACTTTGTGCTCTTATCAAATGTACTTATTTCTTTAAAAAAATTACTGTTTTGTAGATTCTTTTATATAGACAATTATGTTATTTTCAAATAAGAACAGCTTGATTTCTTCCTTTCCAATATATAGCAAGTTTATCTATTTTGCTATTTATTTATGTCTTACTGTACTAGATCCTCCATTTTGATGGTGTGTAGGAATGTAACAGAGGACATCTTCATCTTATTTCAGAATTTAGATGAAAAGAAGTTAATTTCTTATAATTAAATATGTGTTAACTGTTGCTATTTTGCACGTGCATTTTATTGGGTTGAAGTTTTCTTTCATTTCTACTTTGCTGAGAGTTTTGTAAAGTTAATTTACATTAAATTTTCTCTAACACTTAGAAGATAAATAACCACTATAAATTTTTATCTTTATTGGCGCTTCCTTGGAGAAAATAAAGATTAATAAATACACATTTGGGTGATAGCCGATAAATTCTAATATCCTCCAGGCAATGAAAAATATTTGGAAATTATTGTTAAATTATTAAGTGTGTTTGACAATGTTATTTTAATCATGCCCAAATATTTAATGATATATATTTCTATAATCTAAAAATTATTCAGGGACCATTAGAGCAAAATATTATAAAAATATTTTCAAATCTGCATGCATTTTATGTGTTTTCATTTTTACTCTCACATCCATATGCTAATTTTCATTGGAAAAAAAAGTAAATATGTATATTTGCCAGAAAATCACAATTGCAGCCTACACAATATTGGACATATTCATTTTATTAGAAATATCTGGAAATTATAATTAAACATTTTTTTGAATTAGCTGTATTTTGCCACTTGAAACACTACACATTATATCAAGGAGGTCTTATTTACAAATATATTTTACAGTCAATTTTTGGAGAAACCCTTGCTGAAGTATGGTTGCACTTTTCTAAACATATGAAGTTACTTTTATATTTATATATGTACATATAAACATATATATGCACATATATATAAGTTGCTGTACATTTATATATGTATATATAGACATATATATACACATATACATATATAAAGAGAGAATATGTAATATATATATAAAGAGAGAGAATTACATGCACATTATAGTTCTATTTGACTTCTTTTTGTGTAAATATAGATAATAAAATCTCGCTGCTAAAATAAGAAAAAAAATAGGATTCTATACATTAGAAGTCATGAAATAGCCATTATTTTGTAAGAAACTCTGAGATCAAGAAACAGTTAAGTAAAATCAAGGTTATGTAGTGCAAAAACAGGAAAAAAAGTTGAGAAGTCAGTGTCTATCATGACAAGAGTCGGTTTTAATAAAAACATTTGTTTTGTTTTCAAAAGGAGATTTTAAAATTAGTACTAGAGGTAATTATTGGGTTAAAATCTTTAGGTGGTAGAGATTGTATTTATGCAACAAGCATGTATCCCTCCACAACCTATATTTATTGTATAGTGCCTTTCATCCTGAAGTGCTTCACAAATTGATTTACAAACACTGTGTACTGCAATCATTTTCATTTCTCAAATGCACTTCATCTGTTATGCATACATATATTGCATTTTATGAATTTCAGGATACGGCAGAGTAATCCCCAAATATAACTGAGTTTGAAATACTATTTTATGGCTTCATGAAAACAACATGACAAATTGCTTACTCTGGTTTCTGTGACAAATCTCTCTTTGCAGTAAGTGGAGCCCTAATTGAAATGTATACTTCAACTTGCAGACAGCAAAAGACAAAAAATATCAACTGGGGGCTCGTGAATGGGAGATGCATTAGTTAGAAAGAAATTTATTGGATTGCCACTGTGTATAGAAAAACTATTTACGTGTTACATGGACGAAATAAAAAGTACAGCTCTCGCCTTGACGGCCATACACATTAATTTGCACAGACAAAACGCATTCACATCTGGATCTGGGTATTTTCCTTAAGTAGCAAACCAACAGATGGAAGCAAACATATGGCTCAAATTTAGTTCACAAGTGTTGAGAGTTGTGAAAATACAACAATAAGAACAGCACTAACCTAAATTCCTAAGAGAAGTAAATTTTAACCAGGTTTTTAATGGTAGAAAGGTTAAACTATTTCTATTTAATTGGCAAGTTACATTTAAATAATAATCTTCAAGTCCCGAAGAGGCCTGTGATCATGAAAATGTATAATAAATTTCTTCTCTGCCTCTAACAAGAAAATAAAATCCTAACACTTGTTGTGCACTTATTAACACACACATTAAAACATGGCACATTTATTTCACTAACACTATGTTAGTATAATTTCTAAATTTCCCATTTGCTATTTTGTGTAATGATTCATTCATGCATTCACTCATTCATTCATCCATTTATGTATTCTACCACTCATCAATACATTCAAGCATCAGTTACTGAGGACTTCATAAATGTTAGTGGTTAATCATTGCACATTAGGAGTCATGCCCCACGTGGCTGACCATAGTTCAAATCCTGGCCCCAGCATTTAATAAATATGCCAGGTACATGTGCATGTGTAGTGTACCTAAAGGCAAAGCATTAGTGGGACAAGGAAATGTGGTATTATCTGTTGAAGATAATTTTAGAGTATTATTAACTGGACTAGGGAGAAATGTACACATGTTGGAATATTCACTTTGTAAGCTAAGTAATATTATTGAGTACATAAAAGAACAAGAAATTTTTTAAAAAAAGAAAAAATATTGGAGGGCATAAAAGCACTTAAAATAGAGATGCTGAAAACAGTGTGGAATGAGACAGGAGAAGGGGAGTATAGAGAAGGATACAAAGAGATCAAATAGAGAAGCATGACATTTGTGGAACACAGAAATGGTTTATTACCTGTTGATGATAACATATATAGTACTGTCAACTGGACTGGTATTTGAAGTATTTCATGTTGAGTAAATTCTAAATATCTAAAATTATATATAGTGATTGAATGTTTAAA